TCTTGCTGGCCACAAAACCAGACAGTGGATTATTTATTCATTGTTACTGTTATCTTAGTAAAAGCTCTGATGAAATACCTCATCAAGAAGGTGCAGCGGAGACATGTAGCTCTGTGGCACACCGTGATCCGGCCAATCAGCCCAGTGGAAATGCGTAACAGTGATCGGTTTTTTGCCTTCCAAAGTGACCAAAAACGATCGCTCCCACATTTCGCATTCAAAGTCCTTGCGACGTTTGCACTGAAAACATTGAAGTTTGTACCACCATAGTCCTGGAATAGCAAAAATCCCGGGGTTATCACTGTGAATATCCCATGTTAGTGATGTTACTGAGATGCTCCCACACGTCGAGCGCACTGTTAGAAAATCTGCTTAACTATAAAGAGGGAAGCATACAACTGGCTTGTGATACTATGTTGTAGCCGCATTTCAGCAACACGAAAACAACTTCATAGTCCGCGAAAATCAAGTAAGTGATCACGGTTCGATTTCGTTTTGTGTATTTCTTTATTTAAACATTCATTATTATCATACTGTATTTGGTGAGCCTGAAGAATCTCCCGCTTCAATCTTGTCTTCCACGAATATTTCATTTTATGAAATAACATAGCAATTGTTTGGTCAGAATAAATAATCAGGCAGGTTTTTAAATACAGGTTTTACTTAAGATTGTTATGATAACTATGAAAGAATGGTTGGAAGTTAACGAGATCGTCGTTGGTAATGTACAGGTAATTCTAAACTTTTCTCTGCCCTGGTTGAGCTTCCCAATACTTCGAGAATCCCATTACTGAACGCACTTGCAAGCCAGCCGTAGCTGTGTGATGCTGTTAAGTTTTGCTAAAAATGCTTCAAAAGTATAAGCTTACATCAAGGCACTTGACTGTAACACCACCGTAGGTAGCTGTAATATCAGGGGTAAATGGGAAGTATGGTGTCGACTTGTGGAATCCTTTTTCGACGAAATCCGTCGTCATCACAATGAATTCGACATTTTCTTGCACAATCATAAACCAAAAGTCATAAATGGTTTCCATTAAAGGTGCCTAAAACAAAAATCAAAGGACTGTGATTGCCAGGAACTGTTCTGATTCGTACAATCAAACATTCGCTTAACTTTTGTTTCGCACCGCTATCTTCTGATTCGGTACAATCAAACAGCTTTTCGTTATTATTATTGCTTGCACTTTTTACCAGGAGCACAAAGACCGTCTGGGCTATCAATATGAACATCCCGTGTTGACGGTATACCCCCAGACTCCGGATACAGCTATGCCAGGTCCTTCGATTTTGAGCTGCATGCTTGCAGTTAGTATCTAATGCTTGTACAATGTATGCGCACTACCTGTTCCGGAATCGCCTGAATGGTCTCCCACATTGCGATGACAAATCAGGAATCTTTTTTT